GCAGGTTGTGCATGGCTTTAAATGCTAAGCAGAAGAGTTTTAATTTGGTCCTGGAGATAATAAGGAATAGTGACATCTTTGGGGACAACACCTCTAATGACAGGATGTAGGTAAAGGAGGGTCAGGTCCTTCTACCATTCATGTCCCCACCTGAACAGTCAGAAGAAATCAAGTGCCAACCATAGAACACAAGCAAGAATGGGAAGAAGTGAGAACTTCCCCCACTTCACCCCAACTAAAACCCCTACAAATGACACAAATAGCCCACATTGAGCAGGGAAATGACATGGCTAGACTTATACTTCAGAAAAAGGTTGGCAACTTGGTGGAGGATGGATTAGAAAAGAGAAAGACATACTTGGAAATTGTTTGGATATGTGGAATGAATAGAGAGTGAGGAGCTGAGAATTCTTGGAAGTATGGCATTGCCCTTGACAGAAATATGGAAGATAGGAAGAAAAGTGGGTTTTGGGAGAAAAATAATGAGTTCTGTTTTGGATGTGCTAAGTTTAAGATGCCTATGGGATGGTCAATTTGAAGTGTCTAATATGGTAATATAGGCCTGGAACTCGGGAGATTAGGGCTGAATTTTTAGATCTGGGAGTCATGTATACAGAAATGATAATGGAGCTGATAATGTTACTGAGAGAGTAGAGAGAAAAGAGTGACCAGAACAGAGTCTATTGGGGTATACCAATAGTTGTGAGTTACAGGTGGAAGGGATTCAGTAGAGGAGACCACTATGATGAGGACAAGTGAATTAGGCCTCCAAGATTCCTTTTGACAACCTGAAACCTCTCAGATTCTCTGTGAGACAAAGCAGAACCCATAGCACAGCTCTTCACTAGACCCAGGCTCCTAAAGGACCCTTGCTAACATTACTATCAGGTGATTTTCCTCCCTATGTATACTTGCAATGGGAATAATATTCTAATTCCCCATCCTATACAAGTTAGGCTACTTTTTCCTTAAATGTATTAAAGCTATCCTCTAGAACAGGGTTTATTAACCATTTTTTGTGTGTCATGGACTCCAAAGTAATGTTTTTAAATGCATAAAATAAATTGAAGGCAATGGAAAATTTCACTTAGAGGTTAGATAAAGATGTATTTTTTCCCATCTAAGTTCACAGAGCCCCTGAAATCTGTCCATAGGCCCGAGATTAAGAATTCCAACTCCAAATTTAATCGAAGACTATTGACATCACTTCCTAGTGATCTGAATACAAAAAAGTCCAAGTGCTCCCTAATCCTTGGTGGACTGCCACAGGCAACTCAGAGGCAGGGGAGCTTTCCTCAACTGAATCAATTTTCAGTGTCTTCCTTACTTATTCTTGTTGAACATCTTTCCCCTATTATAGCTCACTGGATCTTCTTTTGTTAACGGTTGATCAGTCTGCAAGTGCCTCATTTCATTCCAGTATCAGACTTAAACTACCAGGAGATTAATATGAATTAAGCCCAGCCCAGTACAAAAGTGACTGAACACAGTTAGGCAGTCTGACATTGATAAGAAGGAAACAGCAGAGCTCCTTAGTTCTTACTTTGCTTCTATGGTGGTGTAATCTGGAGAGAAGTGTGGTTACTGCTTTCTTGGTCTAGTCTCTTCTTTACCCAGGCAGAGTCCCTGATTCCTTGGGATTGCAATCAGTACCGCTCCTCCCTCTCTTGGGACTGGAAATGATACTGTTCCTCAGGGTCCCGGATCCCTTGGGGCTGGAAGTGATACTGCCCTTCTGGGCTTCCTCTCTCTTGATGGAAAGTGCTACTCTCTGCCCTTGGACTATAACCCAGAAGCAGACATAACCAATGGAGCTGCCAAACAGCATCTGCTTCTGCATCCAGGGGTACACTGTGTCAGCTATCACAGAGTTTGTTATAAGGAAAGACAAACGAAATGAGGTTGTATGACAACCATAATATCTTTCTAACCAGTTAGTTGCTGGGTCCCTTTACCATCTCTGACTTGAGAGCTCTTGAAGCAGTTACTGGTTCCTTCACTTCCACTTAGTTCTAACGCTGGAGTTTCATCCTTGTGAGCTCCAGGCCAGCCTCCTCTCCTACATCACAGATCCCTCTGTCCCACCTTCTGTGTTGTCTTGGGCTGGAAGAATGTCTTACTCTGACTGTTTGTTGGCTCTGCCACTCCAGAATTCAATTTGAGACTTTATTTTGAAATTATTTAGAGGGAAATGTTGGGATGACATAGCTGAGTGCCTTCTCTAGTCTGCCATCTTGGCTCTATGAGAGTCAGGTAAAGGTTAAATTTCCACAGAGAAAGAGAATAATGCAGAGATTTAAAGAACAAAGGTCCCAGGAAGTGGTACACTGTAGGTGGGCTGGGCTTGACCAATAGGAAGTAAGTGGATTGTTCCAAGAAGACCCCAAAATCAAGATAAGGGTCAAGCCAGCTCAGACCAGTTGGGATCAATCTGAGGACACCTGAAAAGTGCTAGTGGGCCTGCTTAATGAGCTTCATTACTATTATCTGGCACACCCCGCATAAAATTGGAGCCTCATTAACAAGTCATGGGATGTATGACCAGGGGAGGGGGAACATACTTGAGCATGTCAAGGGGAAATATGTTAGGAGGGGTGTGGCCTGGGAAGGGATGGACCAATCCCGGCCTGGGAGGTTTCACGCCAAATTCAACTGCATAAAAGCACACTTTCCTTTGCACTCAGGGCCCCACACCTCCTGAAGAGGGGTGCAGCCCACTTCTGGCCAGAAAAGTCTAAATCCTCTGGACTTTCTTTATAATAAATTTTCTTGATACTAAATTTTTGGTGTTAAGCCTATTTCTAACAGCTCCCAATGTCTTTTCCAAGATGTGGTATCCAGAAACAAATACAATAGTGATGCACTCTGACTGCAGTAGAAGTCAGTCAGTCTGAAGAGGTCTAGGACTTTTGGGGTGCTGCTGGCTCAGTACCGGGCCCTGCCTGAATGAATTCAACTCAAATCTTCTTCCAGCCAGAGGAAAAGTTTATTAGTGATAAATCACGTAGGCCAGGTAACGCTCATGAGAACGAGCGGGCATGAGAAAGGCTCAGCCTTGTGGGCCTGAGATTCTCAGCACCTCAGCCAGGGTGGAATTTTTATACACTGAAGTAACTTTGGGTGGCCAGAGAAGGGGGCTGGGAAAAGGGTCTAGGTGAGAATTCCAATTGGAAGGTCTGAGAGATTGAATAGACAGTGGGAATAGCTAATGGAGGAAACAGAAAGGCAGAAGTTTGAAAGGCATCTGCACAAGGTCAAAGGCTGGGGCTAGGACTTTCAAAGGGAGATAAGGGGAGTCGATAAGGAACCATTTGAGACCAGAATAAGGCCTTTCCGGGGGTCCATAGACAAAAGGAGCCAGATTCTTTTAGGGGGAGGAGCAAAGGCGGTCTGAATAAGATTAAAAGGTAAGGCTAAGGCTTTCAAAGGGAGATGAGAGGGCCTGGGGCCTGTAGACAAATGGAAGTCAGATTCCCTTTGGGGCAAGGGGGGAACATCTTGGCTTGGGCCCCGCCCCCATCAAGTCCATAAATAAACATTTATTAAACATCTAGTATGTGTAGCCAGTAGGGAGTTGTTTCCCAATATAAGTAAGTAAACGAATACTTTCTCTTGCACTTCATCAAGTAGAGATGAGCTCCATATTCAGACACTAAAATAATTAGGATGTGTTCCACACGGTTAGTGATCTTTGGAAGAAGTGGAGAAGGTCATATGTCCTGGTTTTCAAACAAGGGAAGAGGGGCAGCTAGGTGGTGCAGTGGATAGAGTGATGGCCCTGGAGTCAGGAGGACCTGAGTTCAAATCTGGCCTCAAACACATACCTGCTTACTAGCTGTGTGACTCTCGGCAAGTCACTTCACCTCTTTGCCTAGCAAAAACAAACAAACAAACAAACAAACAAAAAGATATGCAAAAAAGGGAAGAGAACAGAGTTGCAAATTATAGCACAATGATCTTGACTTCAAAACCTGGAAAAATTCCAGAGAATACTATAAAGAGAATGGATAACAAATGTCTACAAGTGGAAGTGGTAAGCACAAAGAAGTGAACAAACTGTGGTAGATGATTGGGTTGGAATACTATTGTGCTATAAGAAATGATAGCAGGACGGTTTCAGAAAAATCTGGGAAGATCAGCCATGAAAGATTTAGCTACTCTGATCAAGACAGCAATCCAAGACAATTCCAAAGGACCTGTGATGAAAAATGCTATCCACTTCCAAAGAGAGTTGATGAACTTTGAATACAGATTGAAGCATACTTTTTAAAAACTTTATTTTTTGTTGTTTTATTTTGCTTTTGTTTTCTTTTTCAACATGGCTAATATAGAAATATGTTTTGAATGATCTCATAATTGACATCAAAATTCTTGCCTTCTCAAAGAGGTGAGAGGAGTTAGAGGGAAGAAGAAAATTTGGAACTCAAAATTTTAAAAAAAGATAGTTAATTTTTTTACCTTTAATTGGGAAATATTTAACAAAAGAAAAGTATTTAAAGCAAAAAAAGAAAGAAAAGATATTGAGAACTGGAGTATATACATAGATATATGGGAAACAAGTGTATGTGTCTATATATTTGTATGTATGTGTAAATATATACATGTACACACCTGTATGTTATATCTATATCTATATCTATGTCTATATCTGTATCTATATCTATATATCTTCATTCTTTGTACTTGTATATCCAGTGCCTCAAGCACTTAATAAGTACTTGTTGATTGATCATCAATTGACAATAAAAGGCATAGAATAGACCATGAGAGCTAACTTCAATTATCTCTAGTGCTATGGACTGGGAAAGAAGGTTAGATTCTTAGCTTAGATCCAGAAGGTATACCTAGAGACAACATAGAGAAACTGATAAGAAGCAAATTTACACTTGAATTAAGGAAAAACTTCTAACAGTGAGAAATGCTGGACTCAGCTCTAGATTGGAGTAGATGCAGGACAGAGAGCAAGGTCAGGCTTTAATATGCCCTTGTGGCTGGCGGGGATGATAAGAAGCTTGGAGTCCAGCCAAGGATTGCCACTTTCCTAGGCCACCAGAAAGGAAGGGCGATGTAGCAAGAATACCCAGAGGTGACTGCTCTTGTTGCCATCTAGAAAAGGAGACAGATAGGAAGCAAGGTCAAGAGTAAACACTCTAGAAGCCCTGCCTGCATGGTAACCCTGCCTATTCTGTTCAGAATGGGTCACATTCTTCTATGGTTCCTCAGTCCTCTCCTCAAAAGTGAGACAACACCACATGTCTGTACTGAAAGCTCTGCCAGAAAGAAATAATTCTGGGGGAGGGGAATTTGACCCCATTGAATGAATAAAAATCCTCTGACTCCTCTTCAGTCAACATGATTCATTGTATCTAAATCTGAGGATTTAGGGCAGTCTGCCCCTTTGACTCCAGATAGAAAACTTCTTCAATCCTGTGACCTTTTGGGTGACTGCCTCTAATGACAGGATGTAGGTAGAGGAAGGGCTGGTCCTTCTACTATCCTTATCCCCATTCAAAGAGTCAGAAGATATTAGGTGCTAATCATAGGACACAAGCAAGGATGGGAGGGAGGAGCTAAACGAAAATGACTTGGCATCAAATATCTATTTGGGGGCATAAGGATAATAGGGATTACTGCAGCAATAAGAGGTGCCATTAACATGTCAACATGAAAAATTACTGTTATCCCTGAAACATTTTGCAAGAAAACCCATCTTGGATATTCTAAATTTCCATTTACAAAAGAATGTAGTAAAATTTTAATTTTTCAACAACCACATTAGAACTAATATTGAAAGTATAAGTGACATAGAATATAAATGAGTTTTAAATTTAAACCATTAAGTTGGTTTTGTAATGCACAGGTTCTGGAGTTATAAAGGTGAAAATGAAGTAATCCTTGCCCTCAAAGAGCTTACACTCTATTGGAGGACAAGTGCCCACATAAATATGGACAAAATATGTAGATGTTACATATATAATATATGTATGTATATACATACATTTGTATATGTAACATACACATATGTACATATGTATTTATATTCATTTATCCAGCACTGGATCTGGAGTCAAAGAATCAATCTGGGTTCAAATCCCTCTTCATATGCCCTTAGGTAAGTAACCTACTCGGTACTCAGTAGCCTCATCTGTAAAATGATGACTTTGAACCATTTGATGTCCCCTCCGGCCCTAGATTTATGATCCTATGATGCTATGGCCTATGGAGACAATTCTAATGATATTATTCTGTGAAGGAAAGTACCGCAATACAGGTCAACTTCTGGAACTAGGAACAAAATTAATCCCTGAGAGCACTCTAAATTGTTCGTGTGCACATACCTATGGTGCTTTTAAGTATGCAAAACACTCTACATAACATAATCTCATTTGATCCTCAGAATGACCCAGTAAGTTGTTTTCAGTCATGTCTGAATCTTTGTGAGTCAGTACTCATTTGGGGTTGGCAAAGAAACTGGAGTTCTTTACCATTTCCTTCTCTATTTCCGTTTACAGAGGGCAGCTAGGTGGTGCAATGGATAGAATGCTGGGCCTCACATCAGGACTCACCTTTGTGAGTTTAAATCTGACCTCAGACACTTACTAGCTATGTGACCCTGGGCAAGTCACTTAACCCTGTTTGCCTCAGTTTCCTCATTTGTAAAATGAGCTAGAGAAGAGAACAGCAAACTGTTCCAGTATCCTTGCCAAGAAAATCCCAGATGAGGTCACAAAGAGCTGGACATGCCTGAAAAACAACTCATTTTACAGATTTGGAATTGAGGCAAACAGGATTAAGTGACTTGCCCAGGGTCACAGAGCTAGTAAGTGTCTGAGATCACATTTGAACTCAGGAAAATGAATCTTCCTGACTTCAGGCCCAGCATTCTATCCACTGCACTACCTAGCTGCCCCCTTAAGGTAAGTGCCATAGGTATCATTTCCTCCACATTACTAATGCAAGAAAACTAATTCACTAGTGCATGGTCACACTCCAAGTAAATGCTGGATATGGGAACTGAGCTCAGGTCTCTCTTGATACCAAGGCCAGTGTGGTTTCTACTCTATTTCACTGCAAAAAACATAGAGGACTTTTCAAATATTTCCCTAAAGTTCTCTCCCCCCTTCCCCACCCTCGGAATAGGGCAGCAGGTATTGAATTTCATTTTAATTCTGTCCTTTTAGTCCTAGGGTGGTGTTAATCTTTTGTTTATTTGCTCCTTTAAGTCTCAGTGCCAGGTATGACTATAGTCAAATAAAAATGAGCCTATCCCCATTCCTTCCTCACATTACAAAGAAAAAGAAGAAAAATAGGAGAGAATGGGAGGGAGAGAGAAGGGGAGGGGTTGTTTTAAAAAAACAAGTGCGAGGACTTCCTCTTTGCACTGTTTTCTTTTCCTATCACACCAGGGAGAGAGCTGTCTTTGACTGAGGCTAGAGACGGTTGATAACAAAACGTTCCCACGCACTCAGACGATAGAGGTTATGATGGCAAAGAAGCCCCCCAAGGCGGCCCCTCGGCGAATTTTCCAGGAGAGAATGAGGATCACCTCCCTGCCCTTGTACTTTGAAGGATATTTGTTAGTGAAGCGGGCAGAGCACCAGGTAAGGGGAGAGTTCTCAATGCCCAAATGCAAACTTATGGCTGGGACTCCTGGCTTTTAACAAGCCGCTAAAGTTAAATGGGACTGACATGAAATTTGGGAGCTTTCTTGACTCTGCTATTGCGTGGAAATGAAACTGCACCCCCCCCATTATTTTGTGGTAAAACTTTAGCATGTTTATAATTAAAATCAAATGTTTGAATTTAAAAATACTTACCAAAATTTTGGCATCTCACTGATGATTTCATTAGGGTAGGGCACTCCTTGTGAGGAATTCCTCCACCAATGAAGACGGGTGATGTCTTTGAAATCTAAAGGTTTAGAGAAAGGCTGATAGGTGAAATAACTAGCCCAGAGTTACACAGAAGTATGTGGCAAAGCCAGGGCTTGAAAGCCTAAGTCTTCCTGACACCCAGGCAAGTTCTCCAACCACTACACCACACTGCCTCTTCTGTAATTAGGATGATATCAAAAGTTTTGCTAAAAAATTCCACCAGTAAAAGCTTATCAAAAAGTCACAAAAGAATGGTAGTTTAAGAATTTTTGTTTGTTTGTTTTTTAATTTCTGTAGAGCTGCACAATCTATGTGCTATGGACGGAGAAGAGTATTTGAATTTTACTGAGATTCAGACTACCTGTGTTCTCATCCTGGCTCAGCTATTTACAAACTATGTAATTACGGGCAAGCCATTTAACCTTATTGTGCCTCAGTTTACTCATTTATAAAATCAAGAAATTAGATTAGTTGACCTCTAAGATTTGTCCCATTTCTAGAATATTTGATTCTGCTGTTATAATGTCAGAGTTATGTGTGCCAGGGAGGAAAAAAAAATCAATAAATTGTGAAAGAATATGTGACCACTTTAGCTTCTGCTTTTTTCAGGAGATCAGAGTTTTAACACACACACACACACACACACACACACATACATGTATACATAATATACATATATGTAATATGTATATAAATATATAGTTAAATACTCTATGAAGATATATATAACTACAATTTTGTTTAAATATAATTGCTTGGGAATTTTAAAATGTTAACAGGAGATAAAAGAAAAATTTATAGAACAATTAAAGTTTAGGTAATTATAGTTTGTACATCTCTGTCTTAAAAATTCTAAACTTAGCAACCATCAACACAAGCAAATATTTGTATGTATAAAGAACACAATTATTAAACCTTGTTACACTTTGTTTAAAAATTGTGCATGTTAATTTTATGAAGGTAGCAATAAAATATTGTTTGGGGGCAGCTAGGTGGCACAGTGGATAGAGCACTGGCCCTGAAGTCAGGAGGACCTGAGTTCAAATATGGCCTCAGACCAGACACTTGACACTTACTAGCTGTGTGACCCTGAGCAAGTCACTTAACCCCAACTGCCTAAAAAAAAAAGTCATCGATAAAATATTGTTTGCATCCTTGTTCTTTTCAGCTCTTTTTATCTGAATTTCCCCACTATTATTATTTTCAAAAACAGCTGTAGCCAATGTATGCATTGTTGTTTTAATGCTGCTTTCTTCACTTTGAATGTCTTCATAAGCCTTTCTATATATCTTTGTACTCTTTGTATTTGTCATTTCTTATGACAGTACTACTTTTATTCATATTACTATTTCTTATATTAATTTATAGCAGTTTGTTCAGCTATTCCTCAATGGTTGGAGACGTTGAGTTGGTTTATTTTTTATGTATAATGTTAAAATTCATATTTTTATGTACCTCCCCTGCCCAATCAATGACTTTCTTAGGATTCTAGTTGTATGATCATTAAGTCAAAGGATATGCATGATTTTAAAGTTTTGTATGATCCCGTACTGTTTTCCTAAAAGATTGTATTGATTCCCTGCTGCCCTTACAGTGTAATGGTATGCTTATGGTATGTATGGTATATAATGGTATGCCAGTTTTGAACTTCATAATTTTTAACCCAGCTAATTTAATAGGTGATTTTAATTAGAATTTCTTTTTAGCAGATTTTTGGGGTAATTATTGAACATTTGTGTTTTTTAAATGTTTTTATTCTTATAAGCTTAACAAACACCAACAAATATGAACATTTCCCTATACAAAGAACAGAGGAAGGAAGGCTTCATATAAAATTGTGAATTTCTGCAATGTACAGCTTGTTTTTTATATGTATATTTTAAAGTTAGCATGAGCATTCTAAAACAGGCCTGCTTGTCTTTTGAACTTCCTTCTGCTTTCTTCTATTTTTTCAGAAGATTGATTGGTATTCTTTCTCTTTCTCTTCCTTTTTTTAGTAGCTAAAAGAATCTTACTAAAGAGATAGAAAAGACACGTGAGTGTAACCTTTTACTTCTAGCATTGAGATTCCTCCTGATAAAACATCCCTGATAAAACAATCACCTGTACTGAGAACTCCCAGCATCCTGAGTTTGTTCTGTGTAGAAACCTCACTGAATTAACCTAAAGCAGTACTTTTTATATGAAATGGAGTTCTTTGTCTGGGATCCAACTCAGCAATTGGATATTATACATCTGGTGTCACTCAATGGTTTAACACTTGGGTGTTATACAATACATAAGAACAAATAAGGTAATTCGGTGGTTGGATTTTCTTTAATATCACTTTCACTACCCTCCAATCTCCCTCAATTCGCTCCCCAAAGTAAAAGCCCTCCTATGTACAAAATAAATATATTTAGTCAAATATGTATATTATCCATATCTGAACATGTGTGTATCAATCTATACCATCACCTATGCCAAAAGATGGGAACCATGATTCACCATCATCAGTCTTCTGGAGTCATGGTTAGTCATTGTATTGATTATAGGTCTTAAGTCTTTCAAAGATGTTTTCCTTTATAGTATTGTAATCATTGTATAGATTATTTTCCTGATTCTTCTCACTTCATTATGCATCAGTTCATATAAGTCTTCTTAGAGTTGTCTAAATCTATCTTTCATAATTTCTCATGCACAATAATATTTTATTAAATTCATACCAAAATTTGTTCAGCCATTTCCCAAATGCTTGATACCTATTTTGTTTCCAGTTCTTTGCTACAATAGAAAGTACTTTTATAAATATTTAGTGCATATTGGTCTTTGCCCTCTTCTTTTATCTTTTTGAGAGAGAAGCCTAGTAGTAGTATTGTTGTATTAAAAGGGTAAGCAAAGTTTAGTGACTTTTTGGCTAAGTAATTTATATCGACATATAATCACAGGTGGGGGTTTGTGAGCTATAGAATTAAGAAAAAACACTCACCCAGAACCTCTCAGTGCTGCCTCTAGAACAGGCCTGAACAACATATAGACCATCAAAGGATTTCTGGCAGCCTGAGTAAAATAAAGGGTTGCTACTGTGCACTCTCTTGTTCTTCACATGAGTCTCTAGTCTAATCTATCTGTGGCCTGAAGAAGTTTATAAGCTGTGCAGGTTTGCTTTAGAACCTTTAAGGAAAATGTCTCCAATGAGCTCTGGGGTCCCATACTGCCAGTGTAACTAGAAGCTAAGAGAGTAGTTGTAGAGCTTGTGCTACACAAAGACCATCAAAAAGAAAATACTTTCTGCTCTCAATGCTACAACTTGCATTCTAAGAGGGTGGAAGGGGGAGAGAGAGAACACAATATACATAGATAAATCAATATATACCAAGTAATTTTGGGGAGAAAGGAAAGAACAGCACTCCCAGCATTGGGAGGATCAGGAAAAGAAAGGTCTTCTCTAGGAGGTGTGAGTAAGCCTTGGAGTGATGTAAGGATTTCATAGGGTGAAATAAGAGAGAAAGGGCAGCTAGGTGGCACAGAGGGTAGAGTGCCGGCCCTGAAGTCAGGAGGACCCGAGTTCAAATCCAGCCTCAGACCAGATACTTGACACTTACTAGCTGTGTGACCCGGGACAAGTCACTTAACCCCAATTGCCTTAAAAAAAAAAGAGTAAAAACAAAAGAAATAAGAGAGAAAAACATTGCAGGCATGGAACTTATACTGTGTGAAGTTAGAGAGAGGAGATGGAATGCTGTGTATAGGAAACAGTGGGTAGGCTAGGTCGACTGGAATATAGAATGGGGAGTAATGTGAAATCATTCTAGAAAGATACATTGGCGCCATATTGCGAAGAGCTCTGAGTGCCAAACAGAGAAGTTTGTAATTTATCTTAGAGGCAAGGGAAGTTGAGCAGGGAAGTTGTGTGGTCAGATTTGTGGAGGAAAAGCGAGAGGAGTCATTCCTTCTGCTGGAGTTTTTAATCCAAAATCACAGAAATAAAGACAAAATCATCTAGGCAACAGGAAAAAGACCCCAGAGATCACCCTCTAGGGTCCCCTAGCATCCTCAGAAGATTAAAGTTTCTTTGAACAGAAACACCATCTGAGTGAAAACAAGCCAAACCACACACCACCTGAAGGAGGTCTTCTCCCTAAAATGAAAAGTATCCTGCCATCTAACAAATAAAGGTGCTACTTACCTGTTTCAGAACCAGGGTCAACTCAGCACATTTGTAAGGGAAGAAAGCTCAAGTGTCAAGTGATAGCAAAGAGGCTAGGGAAATCATTCTGCAATACTAGAACCAGGTCCCCGGAGCAGAGAGCAGAGGCAGCTGGGAGAGAGGTCTGTTGTGGGTATAGCAGAGTTGGGCCAAACACAATACCCAAGTTATATTTAGTCATGCGGCTTTTGTCTGCATGTGCTGTCATCCTGTACAGATGCTACAAGTCATGCTGAAATGTGGTCCTGATTGGGTTTGGCACTGAAACCGTGAAATTCCACATCTGGGGTAGAGTTAAAGGGGAAAGGGCTTCTCAAAGTAGAGGTCATTATCAAGGATAGGGAAGTTCTAGAAAGTGCCAGATCATATCCTTGATTATTGGAATGGATCTGACTTACACATTTATGTCAGTAAATTTTTGAATGTGAGATTTTTATCAGTGTCATCTATGGCCTAGAGTGGGAAGAGGGTGCTCTGTCCCACAAGATAATACCAGCTGTAGACTCAACTGAAACCAAGTTCATTCTAGGCCTGACCTCTACAGAAAGAGAATCAGGCTTTTCTCAGACTCTTGCTCAATAAACTCTGACTCCAGAAGAGAAAGAACTCAAGGAAAAATCTCTTAACACTTAATTATGTTACTTTTGTTATGCTATGTTATGTTAATTATGTTATATGTTATAATTATATTAACTCATGTCTCAAAGTCTTCCCAAAGGGATTAACAGGATCCCTTCTAGAAAGTTACTCAATTTACAAAGTAGTAAATACCAGGTATAGGACCACTATTTATTTCCTCTACCGTAAAAGAAATGCATAAAATACAAAATATTTTGCATGTTGACATACTGACAAATACTTAAAACATGAAACAGTAACCCATCATTCCTATTATACTCTCTTGAGAAGTAAACATTCCCAAGTGATTTGTGTAACTGCTGAAAAGATTTTTCATCTTCCTCTTGGGTCTATATTGTTTGAATAGTAATTCATGGTATATATCTTCTGGCTAGCCAAGCATACATGACTCACCCTCCTTGTCATCTTCTTCAAGAAGGATCTATCTGGGCAATAACTCCAGACCTCTTTAGGTCACGAGGTAGTCATCATCTCAGGATCTTTATTTGGTTATCTGTGCTCAGGGAAAAAAATGAAAAGTGAAGGAGGTAACTAGAGCTTTAAGATCCATGCTCAGTCTCACCAAGGCAAGCACATTATGTGCATGTATATGTAACCAACATAGTTACTACTAGAGTGTGAGGAGAGGAGAGAAATCTTGTCTTCCCCAATCAGTAATTACAAGGGATGGTTGTCAGAATCCCAAGGCACATACTTGAAAAGAGAGGAAAAAGGGTGAGACTAGAGATCATTTTTTTAAAAGCCTATTTGTGAGGCAACTTCTCCTGCTCAGTGGAAGGTTATCCCTGATATATTTTTCAGGGGTGGGGACCATAAGGACTAACAAGTAGTTTTCAGTCACATAGGCAAGGAAATGAAGCATGGTCATATTCTTATGTATGCTTCCTGAGATGGCCATCATCAACACAAAGTACAAATCCATTTAGTCCAATATGTGATTGCTGCATATTCTCAAAGTTATCCCAAGCACTTTAGAGCTGAGCATGAGGCCCGCGATAGGGGACCAGAGCTCAGAAGCATCTCCATACACGCTTTAGGTTGCCAGGTGATGTGCTAAGTGCTGGGAATACAAATAAAAGCTGAAAGACAATCCATGTCCTCAAGGAGGGATCTCCTCTCTATATTACATTCTAATTGGGGAAGACAACACATAAAAGGAAGCTGAAAGCAAGGGTAAAGGAGAAGGTATCCACATGGGGTGATGGTAGAAAAGAGAGTCAGGAGTGGGTAGAGCTTGGAGAAGAACGAAGACATGGCTTGCCTGGACATTTCCCTTAAAATGTAGTTTCACAGAGAAGCAAGCCAATCAAGGGGTCACAAAGGCAGAGTATACTTCCATTGTGTGAAGACCAAGGATGAAGTAATTTTCAGGGTGAAAAGACTTCTGTGGCATGGTAAAGAAAGTCCAGAAGAAATTCACAGATGAGAAAATGCCTTCTACCAATGTAAGTCAGGACCTTCTCTGCAAGTTTTCATCTTAGAGAATGCTTGGGGTACCAAGAGGTTAAAGGACTTCCTGAGGATCACAGAGCCAGGAGATTTCAGAGACAAGATTAAACCCGGTTCTTCCAGGCTCATCAAGGGCAACTCGCCATTCAATATGCTACACTGCCTCATGATATAATTGTGTTATGTGGAATAGAATATGGATCAAATTCCATTTTCCCCATACTGTTATCTAATCTTTCTAACAGTTATTATTATTGAATAATAATTCCTTTCTTCAATGTCTTATGATCTTGGACTCTTCAAACATGTCTATTACATAATTGTTATAATTTTGAGTTACGACTAAAGGAATTTGTCAGTTTTTCTTTTTATTCAATTCCAGATAGTTTTGCAAATTATTGTGTTGTAGTGCCTTTTGAGATTTGACATTGTAAGTCCCTTTTTTTCATAATTATCCTTAATATTCTTGTCCATTTCTTCCTTTATATAATTTTTTTCACATAATCTCTCCTCCTTTTTTTCAGTCTTCTAACAAAGAAATGGCCTTACTCCTCATCGAGGCCAATCTTCCACATGCACACTAGATCCCATCCCCTCCTATCACTAAACACGAAAACAACAAACAAAAACCCCAAACAACAATAAACAAAAAACCCCAAAACATTTCCATACACACAACAGAACACAAAAAGAAGCTTCCACATGAAACTGTGAATCTCCATCTCACACCGTCTGCCCATTTAAAAAAAAAAATTTTTTTTTTTAGGCAATTGCGGTTAAGTCACTTGCCAAGGGTCACACAGCTAATAAGTGTGACATGTTTGGTCTGAGGCCAGATTTGAACTCAGGTCTTCCTGACTTCAGGGCCAGTGCTCTATCCACTTTGCCACCTAGCTGCCCCTTATGTGCCCATTTTTAAAGAGTATAAAACAAATGTTATGTATCACTTTCAAAACTTTACTTCTTTTCTGTGCTACTTTTTCCCCCTCTGCGTTTATTTTGGGTGTCTCCCCAGCCTTAGTCCTGGCCCCTCTTCTCTCCTTCCACACTATCTCCTTTTGTTATCTCAATCAGATCCCATGGATTCAATTATATCTTTATGCAGATCTCTTTGTCCAATTCTAACTACATATTGGATGTATCAGATTAGATGTCTCATAGGTGTCTTCAACTCAACACGTCTAAAAAACACTCTGTCTTTTCCCCAAAATCCTCCCCTCTTCCTAACATACTCACTACTGTTGAAGGTACCACCATTCTCTCAATCACCAAAGCTCATAGCCTAGATGTCATCCTTGACTCTTTACTCTCTCTCACATCCTATATATCCAATCAATTTCCATGTCCTATCATTTTTACCTTCATATATACATTCACTTTTCTCCTTTGACACAGCTACCACACAGGTGCAGGCCCTTGATCCCTCACGCCTGGACTACTGAACTATCCTGCCTAGTGCGTCTCCCTGCTTCAAGATTCTTCCTCCTCCTTTCCTTCCTCCAGTCAGCTGTCAAATTAATCTTCCTAGAGTACAAGACTGAATGTAATTCTCACCCCCACCCTCCCCACACACCACTCAATAAACTCCAGTGACTTATTTCCTCCAACATCAAATATAAATTCCTGAATTTTGTTTTTAAAACCCTTCATAAGGGCAGCTAGGTGGTGCGGTGGATAGAGCACCAGCCCTGAAATCAGGAAGACCTGAGTTCAAATGCGACCTCAGACCAAACATTTGACACTTATTAGCTGTGTGACCCTGGGCAAGTGACTTAACCCCAATTGCCTTCAAAGGAACACCCTTCGTAACCTGGCCCCTTCCTATTATTTCACTCTTCCTAAACTTTGCTCCTTTCAAGGTACTCTGTGATCCAGTGACATTAGCATCCTGGATGTTTCTTGAGCAAGTTGTTCCATCGCTTTGACTACTGATTCCTCACCTTTTCACTGGCTCTCCCCCAGGCCTGTAACTCTCTCCCTCATCATCTCTGCCTTCTGGTTTCTCTGGCTTCTCTAAGTGTCATCTTCTTTTAAGTTTCCTTCAAGTACCACCCTGTGCAAGAAGCCTTTCCAAGTCCTCCTTAATCTTAGCAACTTCCCTCTGACACTAACTCCAGTTTATTCTGGATATATCTTGTTTGTATATGGTTGTTTCCAGGTTGTCATTAGACAAGCACCTTGTTTGCTAGAACTATTTTTTGCTTTCCTATCTCTATTGCCTTGAAAGATAGGAAGCATTTACAATGATCTAAGACAATTCCAAAAGACTCATGCTGGAAAATGTTATCCACATCCAGAGAAAGAGCTATGGAGTCTGAATGCAGATGGAAGCATACTATTTCTCTTTTGTTTTTTGTTTTTTCTTTCTCCTGGTTTTTCCCTTTTGTTCTGATTCTTCTTTCACAACATGACTAATGTGGAAATATGTTTAATATTATTGTACATGTATAGCCTATATCAGATTGCATGCCATCTTGGGGAAGGAAGAAAATTTAGAACTCAAAATCTTATAAAAGTGAACATTGAAAACTAAAAATTAATTAAAGATAGGAAGCAGTTAGTAAATGCTTGTTGAAGACTTAATTTGACTTCCTTCTGGACTTCTTTTTTTTTTTCTATGAATTTTTTAAAAAGTTACAATGGGTCTTGTTTTGTCTTATTTTGTTTTATTTGGTATCACTGTTGCTACTCTCCTTATCCCACCCCCACCTCCGACTAAACCACGAGAAAAAGAAAAAAAAACCCTTATAATAAGTAAGAATAGTCATGCCAAATGAATGCATACAATGACCATGTGAAAAAAAAATGTATGCTTCTGCATTTTGAGTCCTCACCATCATTGGGTACCATGCTTCATCATATGTCCTCCAGATACAACTGATGATTGCATTGACCAGAGTTCTCAAGTTCTCCAAAATAGTTTTTCTTTACAACATTGCTGTCTTTATATAAAGTATTGTCTTGATTCTGTTCTGTTCATTCTGTGTCAGTT